CTATATAAAGGCCCCTTCCCCATGTTATTTTTCATCATGAAATTTATCAATAAAAATCCGAAGTTTTGTTCAAACACTTTGTCTTAGATTTCTTTTCGATTTCTATTGCACTTTTATTCGTTTAGAGGGATGCGGTTTGTGAACCTCTAGGCAACTATCGACGATTCAAGGCACTGGTTTGTGGCTTATCGGCAATCGAAACACACGATCTTCATTACGCTGGTTGGCATGAATTGGCACCGCACGGGCGATGCCGGGCGACCCTGACAGTACTGGACGCTCGGGCGTGCTGTCGGGCACTGCCCAAGGTCGACTGGCGTGCGGTTAAACGCACTAGCGTGCACTGGGACGTGCCGGCGTGCGCTGGGCACTAACCGACTATAGACTGCTGCGGGCAGCGACTGTACGCGACACCCTGTTGGGCTTATGCACATCACCCGTCGACCCTGAGTGACTACCGGTACGCTGTGGCCGATGTGTGCGGGCAGCGCGACCACGACCGGCCCTTGCCGGCCGTCTGGCTACTTTTCCCAACAATTATAACATGGATTAACATAACTTACATGACATGAATAAGTACACATATATCGATCGAATGACCATGAATATAACTTACACAACCATGAGGCATGAACAGCCGTGGCGTGCGCTACGTGCGCAACCCATGGCTTCGACCGTTTTCTTCAACCGATTGACAACTTCCCTCGACAATTTATACATGACTGATCATAATATATTTAATAATGACTAATGAAACGTAAATCACTCGAGAGTTGTCGAATAAAAATGGACATGGCTTGGCATGGCTTAAATGGTAAGATCGAGGGAAAATATAGCCCATTCATGAACTTAGCTTCATGATTTGAACTTAGCATGATTGTATTAACATTAAAATAGGGTCAAGAGAGATTACCCCTTCGATTTCTCGATCAATTGTGCAAAACTTCTCGTGATCGCTTGTCCGTTAGGTAGCTTGCGTGCGTGCGTGCGTAAGAAAATATCTTAATCTCTCTTAACTCTTGTTTAGTATATTTACCCCACATTTCATATTTATAGAAGGATGAAAGATGGTAAATTGGGTGAAAATATGAAGTCAAGGGCGTGGCCAATCGGCGCACGCCACTTGCCGTGTGCTAAGGGCCTTAGGTGGCCTCTTGAGCTTAGTCATTGCTAGGTGGCACATGGAGACATGGCTTAGTCATCATCTCTTGCTTACTTGAATGCCACACAAGTTAACTAATAATGATGAAGTTCACGTGAAGTTTGCCCCCAACAACTCTCGGCAATTAGTACAAAACATGGCTTAGACATTGATTAAAGGCGATTAGTACTAACTAAGCACAATCATTTAACGTGCTGAGGACCATTGGTGATAAGCACACCTTTAGGCATTGCTAAGCATCATTGGCGTGCGATAAGGATACTTGAACCGCTAATGACGTGCGGTAAGGAAATGGGGCGTACATGATCAAGGCGATTAGGCTCGGTAATATTTTTATCGAGCAATTAAACATGGATTAACTTCTAATACATGAAATTAAATATTTCGGAACTAAAAACGTAATTTACATTAATAACATAGTGGGTAATTACATACAGAGTCCTGTGTTGACATGTTTCTCGGTAAACCGAATTACTAAGGCTTGTTAGCACCAAACCACGCGAGCTCAAAACTCTGAAGTGCTATCACGTCGAATACGACGGACTAAAAACCGATGTCATTACCCGACAAGTAAACAATAAAGTAACTACATTTATCTCTCCAACCGAGGTCTCTTGCTGATTAGAAACTAGCCAACCGACGACCCTAAAAAATAGTTACTGATGTGAAAGGCGGTGACAGCTCAGATCCATCATCATGACTGTCCTCCAGGTGGAAAACAATCAAACCAAGTGGCAAACAACCGCCTTTGACTTTTCCGCCGCAATAAATGCGATTACACTTACCTCGTACGGTGGACCACCGCCCTATAAATAGCGGGCTCGACCCTCGGAAAAGGGACTTTGGACAGGGAAAAATCTTGTATGAAACCTTAAAGAATTTTCAAGAAATATACAAATAATCCGACGTCGTTGTTTTGTATAACCGACATCATTCCTTTAATTCACTTGTCATATTACCTGTCTCTACACTATAATTCGATATATATATCATTGTTAATACGTATACAACTATTTCTGACCACATTCTCCATAGTGCCCTCTTATCTCTTCCTTCTCATAACTCAGGTTATAGAAAAAGAACCCGGGCATGCCCGGATTATATTGAGTAATATAATTTCTGTATCGGCAATTCAATATAGATTGATATATAGGGAGCGCTCTTTGGATTCCTATCTAATGATCCGGGTCTCGAAAGCGTTTGGCACTAGAGGAAGGGCCTCATAATCATTTGAGGTTAATCTTTACTTTCACAGCCATTACTAGCGTATATTCATCTACTGAGCACATCACTACTTATCGTCATGTCTCACTCCGGACAAGACCACAATTCACATGCTGGGCAGAGTCATAATAAAAATTATTCTGCTGGACAGACCACACACCTCATGTCACGACAGATTTTAGAAGTGTTTTTCAAAATCCTGATTTTGTCCAAGGTTTAGCCTCACTAATGGCGCAAGCGTTACCTAGCACGGTGGTCACCGTCCACTTACGAGCCCCTTTGCCAGTGACTACAATGGCGCAACCAAATTCTCTCGTGCAAAATCAAACGACTCATGCAACATCATCACATGCTACTTCACAACCACGCCACACGTCCCAGCATCGCGAAGAGCTTACGCAACCAACACCAAATCTGCCACCTAATAATCTCGACGCTGATGTGGCTCCAAATCAAGAAATGACGGCTGAAAGTCATTCTGCTCATCTTCATAGAACACCCGTACCTCGGAGGCCTCCATCTTCTTTACCTCGGGACCATGAGGATTTACGTCACCAAATTGAAAGGAATCGTATATCGCGATAAAACTCGGAAGAACTCGAGTCTTTGCGAAAACGCCTAGTCGAACTGGAAACCAGGCAGAAACCACAGGAAGAATCTCTACACCATATTTCGACTTCGGGAAACGTGGTCATTAAAGTTGACTCTCCTTTGGCACCCGAGCTCACTACGGAAGCTTCCTGCTAAAATAAAGATTCCACAGATCGGTATGTATGATGGAACCTCAGATCCCGACGCTCATTTGGAACATTATAATTTATGGATGGATTTGCATGGTGCATCCGACGCCTTGAGATGTCGTATGTTTTCTCTCACCCTTGGACCGAGAGCTCAAAAGTGGTACAACACCTTGCCGCCTCACTCGATATGGAAATGGCAGCAATTGAGGATAGCTTTTCGGTCGCACTTCATCGGTGCTCAGGTATGCCTCATTCCGAATGAATCAATCACCAACATCGTGCAGAGAGATAATGAGAGTGTTAAAGATTACGTTTCTCGGTTTAACGAATGCATCCAAAATATGGAACCATGCCATCCTGAGACCTTACTGGTTACAACGAAAGCCGGTTTAAGGTCGAATTCAGTGTTTCGCTGGACTCTTTGCCAATATAAGCCTGACACTTTCCAAGAATTTCTTGCACGCGCCCAATATTTCCTCATCGCCAAAGAATCGATGTAGGTTCCCAATTTTGATTTTTTTTGCCAAAGAAGATAAGGCAGAACCCGAAGCCAAGAAGAAGAACAAAAAGAACTTCGGTAAATCTCAATTTCGGAATTATGCGAAGGGGAACTCTAATGCCTCGGACTCCAGAGTCGCACGAGACCAATATGCAAAAAATGTGAGAACAGATTATCAGACCGTATATTCAGCAGTGGCGGTGACTATCGTTGAAGAACTAAAAGGAAAAAGGGATCATCCCGGATCCAAAGCCTGTCAGAACCCCATAAGAAAAGCTTGATAAAACTCGATATTGCACGTATCATAAGTCTTCGAGACATAACACCGACGAGTGTCTTAGCCTCTTGTCAGCTCTTCTTCGCTTGATCGGTAGACCCCAGCTTCAGAAGTTTGGGAACTTTTATGCCTGCAGCAAAGGAAGACCTGCAGATACTTCAGATGAAGAAGACAATGATAACCGAGGTGTTAATATAAAAAGAATTCGCACAACCGACAAGGAAGTATTCACCTTTTTGAATACTATTGGGGTTCCGACAATCGAAAACAAGAAAGCTAAATTTGATGTTTTACCGACGTCTCCTCATTATAATCTCATACCTCGGGTGAATACTAATACCAAACAACTCGACACTTCCTGACGTAAGGCCATAGCCTATGCTCGAGAAGCACAAAATGCTGGGAAATAAGTACTTAATGTTGATCTTAGGGATACCATCAACAATCGAAATTGTCCCATCACTTTCAATATAGAAGACGCTAACTTGTTCGCCCACCCACATTCCGACGCTCTCATCATTACTGCCCCGATCGGAGGAATTTCTGTTCACCGAATCATGGTCGACACCGGGGCCTATTCGAGCATCCTCATGCTGTGAACCTTTGAAAAAATGGGCCTGGACCCAGCCGACATCCGATCTTGCAATGATCATATTCAAGGCTTCGGTGGAAGCAATTCATGTCCCATTGGCGAAATTCAACTACCTATTCGGTTCGGAGGCTTTAGACCAAAGTCCAAAATCATCATGGAAACTTTCAAAGTTATGAATACCCAGAATGAATGCAACGCAATTGTAGGTTGCACTGCTCTCTATAAGCTCCGAGCTGCTATCTCAATTTTTCACTACGTGCTAAAGTTCCCCACAGGCGAGGGAGAAGGAACACATTATGGGGATCAAGGAGAAGCGCAAAACTTGGCTTTCACAATAGCTTCATGCGATACCACATGCTTGAGCCCAAACAAAGTGACGGTCATGATTGCCTGGATACTACAAATCTTACATCCTCTGGTACCGACGTTATAACTTCTCATATGTCGAATGCCGACGTGCTCCCAGCACCATTAGCCGACATCCCTATGACGTTGGAATCATTTCATCATGAACGAGTTGACGATCGAAGACAAAGTCCCGGTAAAGGAGTCATCCAAAGGTAAGACGACATGGACCCAAGACTTCAATTTAAGGACAAAAGTGAATATATTCGAGCAGAACCTGTTGAAGAGTCGAGGTTATTTATCTAGATGAGTTGGTTCGTGAAAAACCTTTGCGTGTTGGAGCCAATCTTCAAGAACCGGTATGCACTCAGCAGATCCAGTTCCTTCAATCAAACCCAGACGTGTTCGCATGGAAGCATGAAGATATGAGAGGTATTGATCCCAGAGAGCCTGTCACCGGCTCAATCTTGACAAAACTGTTAATCCTGTCATCCAAAAGCGTCGAAAGTTTGAACCTGGCCGTCAAAAAGCTCTAGAAGAAGAGGTGAACAAGCTCATCGACAACAATTTCATCAAATAAGCTAAATATCCGACGTGGATATCAAACCCGATCTTGGTCAAGAAAAATAGTGGATTATGGCGCCAATGCATTGATTTCTCAGACTTAAACAAGGCTTTCCCGAAAGACAGTTAACACATTCTCTCACATTGATTGTATGGTAGATGCTACCTCGGGCCATCAAGTAATGAGTTTTCTAGATGCCTATTCCGGTTACAACCAAATTTTCATGCATCCAGACGACGCTGAACCTCATTTTATTTGGCTCGTGGTCTCTATTGTTACGTTATGGTGACTTTAGAATGGAAGAATGTCAGGGCCACATACCAAATGTTAGTTAATAAAATGTTTGCAAAACTAATCGAGCATACAATGGAGGTATACACAGAGACATGCTGGTGAAGTCGGGGCGTGCAACCGATCACATTGCTCATCTAACCGACATTTTTAATATCCTTCGCGAGTACTCTATGGTTCTTAATCCGAAAAAGTGTACCTTCGGAGTTGGCTCAGAAAAGTTCTTGGGATACATAGTGAGCCAGAGAGGAATAGAGGCCAACCCGGCAAAAATTCAAGCTATACTTGACCTGGCTCCACCGACGTCTGTTAAAGGCGTCCAAGCATGTTGGGTTCTATTAGGAACGTCGACAATGTGCACATTCAAATCTATTGAATAATAAATCCTAACGCAGCGGAATCTATAGTTAGGATTAGGACTTACGGTTTAAAATTTTTGCCGACTCTGAGACGTTTCTGATTTCCGTTGATGGAGATCGTCTGAACACCAAAGTCTAATGGGCGGCTAGACTTGGCCTTTCACGATTCTAATCGAGTCACCATGGTGCTCTAATCGCTCATCAAGCTCATCGGATCGTCTTGGACCTTTGGTGAGTAAGTCGGGCTGCTCGGGAACCATCTTGGACTCGAACCAGGTCTTCTGGACCAAGCTGGACCGCCTTGAAGGTTTCTGGCCGCGTATGGACCGGTTTGGACTCCATCTGGACCGGCTCGCAACGATCTGGACTGCTTTCCATACCTCTGGGCCGCTTGAGCGCATCTGGGCCGCATGGAATAAACTGGGCCGCGAGCAAGGCTGTAGTTGGGCCAGAACACGCGCGCAAAGGGCTAGGAGGAGCGCTGGAAGACTGGGCCAACACGCGGGCTGGAGGTGGGCTGCTCGCAGGCCGCGGGCTGAAGACTGGGAGAGGACAGCGGGCCGCGCGCGGGCCTGATGTGGGCCAGAAAGCCCGCGCGCCTGGAACTAAAAAAAAGTCTCCTATTTACGCAAGGAGAAGGATCGATCCCGCAACCACGCTGGGAGAAAACCGCGCCGCACGCCATCGCGCTACACAAGTTGTTGCGTCAAATAAACGCTTTCCTTCAACAATGTAGTCGAACAGATCTGGGAAAT